TTTTTTTCTTTTTTTTTCAACTGCCTGCCTAATTATGTAGATTGCTTGCTCCTCCGCGTCGTTCCGGTTCGTCTGACCCGGCGACCAGAGTTCGCCTCTTTATTCGTCTGTTTAACCTGTCTGTTTGCCGCCGTTGTATGCTACGCGAATGATTATGCTACACGCTGCGTCGTCGCGTAGAGAGGCAAGTTCATCCGCCGCGGTTCACAGCCAACAACAGGTTACGGATTTTCTCTACAAAACGCGCGCGAGAATGCTCCGTTTTTTTTTTTTTATTTCGCGTTTCCGGTTCGGAATAGTACCTAATTTTGTTACACATCCCGCGTGTTATCTCCCTCGTTTATCATCACGGTATAATTATTATATAATCCAACTCTGGTAAATGTAAAAAGAGGTACCATATAAAAAAATCTCCTTTTATATACAGTTAACTAATTACTACCAAACTACCGTTTACATGCAAGACTGTCCAAGCCAATGTAAGACAAACATTCTAGGATTACGTGAGACAAGGACTTCGAATAAATATGATAATATATAAGAATCAACTGAAGTTACGGTCGTTAATTGCATCGCTACCGAATACGAATAATAATAATAATAGTAATAATAATAATAATGATAATAACAATATATATAAAATATATATATATAATATATATAGTAATCTAATGCCCACAGTTGCCCTCGTTTCCTGATTTCACTCGAATCCCGTGCGAACTTCTTTTCTAGAAACGAGCCTCTGCCTCTTTTCCACCTTTTACGTTTTAATAAGATACATGTTTTAATACAAGTAAAATACCAAAAAATAAAAAAAAAAATACGCTTCTACTTCCTTTACACTGTCTCAGCAAAATTAGTTACATCGATTAGTACAACTTTCTCTCTACGATCTACTGTGTGAAGTCTCGTGCAAAAGTGGAAGGAAGAAACTGGTGCATCGAATCTCCTCGAGGCGAATTGCGTTTTCATTGTTAATCTTTTTTTTTCTTCTTTGTTTGTTTGTTATCTTTCTCACATTTTTTCTTTTTTTTTTTTTTTTACCCCTTTCCCATTTCCGATCCCGAATCTTTCCGGTTTCTTTTTTTTCTTTTTTCTTTTTTTTTTTTTTTATCTATCGAGGAGGAAATGGACAAGAATTTGATAATGTCGATGGCCCGCTCGCGAGCTATCTTTCTTTCTTTGTTTTTCCATTTAAATATTTCAAACGCGAGATGTTTCAACCCTTTTAGCGACGAATAAGGATTATGTAAGCGTTAGACGTACGCGCGAAAAATGTCGAGAACGATGCTTTGAAAATTTCGCGGAGTTGCCCAATTCATTTTTCATTTGCAAGTACTCGCTGCGCATTCAGAATCGTTATTTATTTATTATGTATTAGACGGCGGATTTTTGTGCATTTGTTGGAAATTTAAAAATGCGAAAATGCACACAGTGCGCACAATAAAGTAAAAATGTGTAAAATATTCAGAGTACCGGTATACTCGGTATGATGTTTGAAGGATGAAATAGATTCGAATAAAAAATTTAAATTTACGTCTGCATTTTGAAATATTTCTCAATTTTAGACTTCCATCTGCTCCGATTTGGTTGCAAAATTTTTGAAAACAACGGTTCGTCAGAAAGATGTTAATAATTCAGAAGTTGAGTTAAAATTTTAAAAATATTTCGTTTGAACAAAAAAATATTTGCAAAAAAGATTTCTACGTCTCTGTTTAAAACCAGCGTGTAGAATCAATAAATAGAAAAGTAAGCAGTGCTCTTCTAACTGTTTAGCTTTGTCAGAATAAAATTTATTACGGAAAAAAAAGTTAATAAGTACAAAAAAATAGCGTTTAAATCTTTCGTGCGTGTGATTTCTGAATTCCGTTCGACACGAAATCTATCAAATTTCAAGTAAGTGTCTCTCTTAAACTTTCTCGATTAATTAACCAATAGCAACCTGATTAATGATCCGATAACAAGTTTTATATTCTTGCTTTGTATCATCTTTATATTGAATTCTTTAGGATATGTTCATTTTATTCTAATATGGCTCTCCGTACATATATCTGGTGGAAAATTGTATTATTCACTCACACGATGCCTGCAATGAATGTTTCCAGACACGTATATCGTTACAAGTGAACAGATGTAAAATTTGAAAGTAACAAATTAATCGCTTTAATCAACAATAAATGAAATAATAAAATTAACAGGTAATCGTGTCAAAAATATTTTGCATTTCACAGGGAGAGTCAGGTTCAACCAAATCGGAGTATAAAGACACGTTCTTGAAAATTCCTCCTTCAATTTTTCGCCGTCTCTTTCTCAAATTTTACTGTCCCGTCTATATTCGTCTCGACACTTTCCTCCCTGAATTATTCTTCTCGTCGTCGCTGAAACGGTCAGGATAGAGGGCACACATTTGCCCGTTTCTAATCTGACGGAGAATGAAATGAAATCGATCAACGACGATAGCTCGGTGACGAGGATCGGGCCAGCGACCGAGATGGACAAGTCGACGGATAGGTTCCATCGAGTAAACCGACCTGTGTAACCGGATCCTTCATGATCAGGACGTCGGTGACGGTACCGAACATGCCAAAGTACTCCCTGAGCTTCTCGCTGCTGGTCTGCCAGGACAAGCCACCAACGAATAGTTTACCAGGTGCCGGATCACCGCCATTCGGTGTACTCCTGCCGGAGCTGCCGGAATGGCTACCGTTTATAGGCACCAGGGCGTTGTGAAAGTCGTGCTCGATCGCACCATTCGCCGCCTCCATGCCGGCGCTGAAACACACAGATCGGCGAATCATTAATTAAACGTTTCGACCGGGCTGGACTGTTGTTTGCCCGGTTGATGGTATTTCTATCCCAGCTCCGTCGCCGGGAGAAACAGGGTGGGAAGAATGGGGTGAAAGAGTAAAAAGAGACAGAGATTAACTCCGGTATTTTTAATTTTGTAGCGGATGTGGTGAGTGTCTGGCGAGAGTCTGCGGGAATGGAACGTTTCATCCCTAGAAAGTATCAACATTATACTAAAACTGAAAATGCATTTTTCATTTGCTTTACAGTATAGTTTCTTTTTTCTATCATTTTATTACAGTGTAACATACATATACGTATTATTAATCACGGTATAATGTATATGTTTTATTTTATTTTATATAGTAGTATATCATCTAGTTTAATAATGATAATGATATAATATCATTCGTTTACTTATTAAATGGTCGATGACATTTATTTTGCTTCTCTATCGATAACGAAACTACCAATTTAAATGACATACATATTTTCTAAAAATTAAATATTCTCGTAAGAATTATTAAATCGATTAGAAATTTGCACAAAGATGCGTAGATTTAATACGTAAATAAATAAAAAAAAAAAAAAATACACGAAATTAATCTTAATCGGACATTTCTACATTCTCTATTCCCTGGAATCTTCTGATTTTTTCGCAAATCAATCTTTCTCTTGTAAAAGATTGTAAAAACTACGTTTGCAGCCATTCTTTGCGCGACGTTTTTATCAGAGAAGAACGTTATTAGCCACGTATAATCTCGTTTGACGTCGCGAACGAGAACGAGAAGAAACTGGAACTTGGTGTCGTCCTCGTGTAATTAACGACAGATTACAGTTTAATTACTGGTGTAAGGCGAGTCGCGCGTGGGAAAAAAAAAAGACTTTCGAGCTTTCCAGAGGTAATTTATTGTTCGACTGGCGAGCCACCGCATCCGGTTCTTCGGGCTGTCGCTTCCTTTTCACGACCCTGTTTACGTGTCGCGACCGCGCATTAAACCAAACTCCTTCCTACGTACCTTGTCCTTTTGAATAATATTACGCTTCGAACGCGTCGCGAGTCGAGTTCTATCGTTAAATACTTTGCTGTCCGCGTGAGTTAATTTCTCACAACACTGAGGAAGTGAAACATTGGACTGGAACAACCGAAATGGTCAAAATGGCCAATATCATTTTTGGAGATTTGAATGATTGATTCATTTAAAACGTACGTATACGTAAAAACTTCTGCAACCCATACAGT